CATCCAAATCTTGGTTGTAGACCAGAGAGAGAGAGGAAAAAAACAAAATAAAAACAGAGAGACTGCCTATAACATCAATTTAAAGGACCATATGCTTTACATATAACCATCGTATTCAAGTATTGACCTGTTTCTCTATGGTCTTCCATTCTTAAGGGAATCTTGGTATAAAAAATAAAAGTTTCAGTGGCCACAAGATGAAACATGTTATAAAGATATTCAGTAATTCTACAAAGTGGTGACTGAGATGCATGATCAAGCTTTACTAGAATAATGATATTGACATAAACAGTGTTCCAAGCCATCAAGATGAAGGCAAAGTTATGACTCATGATACAAAGCATGAAGCATTGAAGCAGTGGAGCATAAGCACTCTGTTTATTTATTTGATAAAATTAGTGATGTAAGACAAAAAGAACTTGAACAAAATACTTTGAGAAATTTATATCAATAAGCAAATTGAAGATCTCATATTTGATAATCGAATCAATAACTTAATATTTATTTGATATCATATGAATAATCCACCATATAATTAAGCTATGCTACCTTATTCATAGGTAGTAAATACCTATCAAAATAAGAATTCGTAAGTCTTAAGTACGAATTCTAATAAATAGAAAAATAAGCTACATGTAATAACCTATAATAAAAATAACTAAATAAGATTCTAATTAAATAGGAAATAATGAATCTATACCATTAATAAACTAATAGATATTAGTTCCTAGTAAGTTCAATATTTTAATAACATAAGCATTACAATTGATAAATATATATTATCATCAAATTATGTTCATTTAGGATCTTCCTATTCTGCATTATTCTACTTCACTTGGTAAGAACTCGACTTCAAATTTTATAATGTCAAAGTATAAAGAATCTAAAAGTTGAAAATTGTCTTCTTAAAAAATTGAGGTTTACGTAAATTGAGATTGTTGTGAGAAAACAAGAAAGTTAAAATTAAGGATTCCCCCAAAGACACAGTGAAACAATTAAAATTCATAAAAGGAAGAAAGCCAAACTTTCCTCATTGGTATTAGGGGCCAAAGAAATTTTTGGGATAGTAACTTCAGGTGACACTGCTTTCTTCTTATAATCAACAAGAATATCATCGTTTTCAACCTCAAACAACACCATTACGACTAAATCGGGACATCCTTCTGAAATATAGTTCCTCGTTTCTGGGGTCAACTAACAATTAGCTGTGACTTATTTCCTAAATTAATGGATAGCCATGTATATTTGAGTCGCATTAGTTTAAGCAACTTTCCTCTGTATTCTGATGGAGAGAACATATCTGCAGTAACTGCAGATTTCCTATTTTAGTGCCTAGATATATTGGGTATACATGAAGAGCTTGAATTGTAACCTAGTTGTGAATATATATATCCACATGCACTTAATGAAAATCACGGAGCAAGAAGATAATTTCTTTATGGTACCAGAGCACAATCTGAACCACGTCTAAAAAATAGAAAATAAAGGAAAAACTCCCTCGTTCGACCATGGTCAGTGAACAAGGGACAAGTTCAGAGGTGTCTTCCAGACCAGGATTTGTGCTCACAAGGAATGACCCTCCCCACCACAGAGCATAAACTCAATGGGGCAAAACTACATCCAATGGGCTTAGTCCTTCCAGATTCTCATCTGCAGCAAAGGAAGAAAACTCGCGGAAGCCACCATACAACCAGAACCGACCAACCCAGGTTACCGTATCTGGAGATTAGAGAATAGCATAGTGATGTCATGGTTATAAATTGAATGATCAGCAAGACTGTAGAAAATTTTATGTATTACAATACTACCAAGGAGATATGGGATACTGCCAGAGAGACCTTTTTTTTTTAAAACAAAAGTATAATATATCCATAAGCACCAAGGGAGTGCAAACTCATATATGAAAATATATACAAAATGACTGGAACATCAATATAATCAGAAACTTAATGATTGAGAAATTGAATAAAATGAGAATCTGTTTAGACAACTGGCTATGGTATCTATGAATGTGAACAGGGATCAACCATTATGGAAATTAAAGAAGAAAGGGAACTTCACGGTCAAATCCTACTATAGATACCTGGTTAAACATAATGAGGACAAGGATACCAACTTTCCAGCCAAACAAATTTGGAGGGTGAATGCCCCACCTAGAGTAGCTTTTTTTTTTGCTTGGGAAGTGGGTTGAGAATGTATCTTGACAATTGATAAATTAATGAGGGGTAAAATTCTAGTGAATGGATGTTTTATGTGTTAAAAGGAGCCAGAGTCCTACAATTATATTCTTTTATGGTGTTCAATGGTCTACAATTTATGGACCATAGTTTATGACTTTTCGGGCACTAACCAGGTCATTGTGAAAACCGTGAGAGATGAATTATTCTTTTATGGTGTTCAATGGTCTACAATTTATGGACCATAGTTTATGACTTTTCGGGCACTAACCAGGTCATTGTGAAAACCGTGAGAGATGAATTATTGACTTGGGAAGGAATTAGTAAGGGGAGGAAAATTGTAAATCTCATTTCACTTATTATTTTTTGTGCTGTTTGGAAATAAAGAAACCAAAGGACTTTTGCGGGGATTGAAGGAGAGATTACTAGGATTAGGGATAGATGACTACATTATATGGGTTATTTGTGTTTAGGTTATGATATTTTAGGGTAGAGGATTTTGGGAATTTTATTGTTATATTAACCAAATTGTAAACATTTTTGTACATGGGTGGCATCCCCTTGATGCCAATATGTTAATATACACTTTATACCTTTTATCTCAAAAAAATGTACAAAATGAAGCAAGATGTCAATTAGATCCCTCAAATCCTCCTC